AGTTTGCAATTTGTCATAAACGGACAGCAGATTGAATGCATTTACAACAGGAACGAGTAGAAGAAAAACAAAATACAACTAGAAAAATTGAACAATTTGTTTCTATTATTTATATCTCACTGAAATTACTCGAAGCATGAATAAATGCTTATGCAGTTTCTATCTCTCGCAACGCATGCAACAAATTTTCATTATACATAATATTCATTTATCATCATTATTATTATTATTAATATTTGTTCATTTCATTACGCATAGTTTATTAAATCCCGGCAACACGAACAATTTCGTATCGACTACGAACTCGAAGAGTTCTCTCGTTGAAAAACGTTCCTATTGTTCAAAGCGGACGAAACGAAACGCGAATAAACTTTCCGTTCGCGGTCAAACACAGTCGCGACGGGAAAACGTAATTTTCGTTTCGACCGCAATAAAGAAAACGGTGGGAGGGGGGAGAGAAAAAAAAATCGAAGTCCAGAGAATGAACGTTGTTCGACGGTCGCGGTAAAGGATTCATAAGAGGAAAAATCGGGCAGCTCAAAGCGACTAGCTGAAACGCAACTTCCGGCCCAATGGCTGTCGAACGATTCCTTTTTCGCGGGACAACAAAAATTCCGCGGTGGAAAACCGGCTCGTCTCTCTCTGCCAGCAAATAAATCACGAGGCTTTCTCGCATCCGGCTCCAATTTCAGACGTACTCTCTCTCTCTCTCTCTCTCTCTCTCTCTCTCTCTCTCTCTCTCTCTCTCTCTCAACTTGTCCGGCGAACTCTATTTTCGTTGGCAGCGGGGGACGACGGCAGCTCGCGTCGCGCGATCCCGAAACGGGGACGGAAAACATTCCATCGGCAAGACGGCGGCCACGTTTCGGGCCCATGATGCCACGGGGCGGTCGATATGAAGCTATGCTGGGCTGTTATACACCCCCGATACGTGCATGCTTCTTCCACCGACATCGCGGTGGCAGGTTTCGCCGAAATCCCAACCGAGAGTAATATTTTTCGATCTGAGACACCGGCGAATCCCGTTAATATTCGGACACTTTTCGGGACGCGATAACTTTTTTAGAACTGGTCTTGAATTTTTTTCTTTAGATGACTGAGCGATCAGTTTACTAGGCCATAACTGGAATGCTTTTTTTAAATTTTTATTGTAGGCTCGGATAGAAAAGGTTGAAGAACGAGGGTATATTATTTTGTTTTGTCATTCCGAGTAATAGCAAAATTGTAACAAAGTAGTTTAGTCATTGTTTAGTATATTAGTCCGGCTATCGAGAGAGGGAGAGAGAGAGAGAGAGAGAGACTAAAAAAAGATTCAAATCGCTTATTCCAGTTCTAAGAAAGTTATTGGATTTTAAAAAGTGTCCGAATATTAATGGGAGTCACCGTAGATCGTTAGGAATAATTACAATAATACGAGCACAAAATAATAAGAATGCAATATTTTAGTGTCAAT